GTGACAGTGGTAAAAACTGAAACTGTCTTTGTTGAAGGTCGACTCGGCCTCAAATGAGTACCTGGTGCGGTGTGTAAACTTGCTAAGAGCACTTGCCCCAACAATCTGTTGAAGACGATAAGAGGTACCTTTGTCTGTGTGCGTGTGTTGTTTATGTACGCGTGTGTCTCCCCGACGGCGGTGGTGGGTGGGGGGGTTATTTATTTGTTTAGTTGTTCATTAGCGCGAGGAGGGAACGTGTGTGGACATGTCCAGAGAAAAACAATCAACTCCCCCCCCCTCTCTCCCCCTCCGCACGCTCTCTCTCTCTTTCCGCTCTCTCCTCTCTCTGCCCTCGGCCCTCTCTCTCTACTCTCCCTCTCGTCTCGTCGCCCTCCCTACGAACTTTCCGCTCTCCCTCCTCCTCCTCCTCTCTCCCTCCCTCCCCTCCCTCCTCTCTTCGCTTTCCATGTCTCCAACTTTTCTCGATCTCGATGTCTCTCTCCGCTCTCCACGCTCGCGCTCGTCCGTCTAATCGGCGCTCACCATAACCGCGGATGACACCACGCACGGCACGTGACGTGAGGACCCTCACAGCCAGAGCCGTTGCTAGGGCACGGCGAATCGGGGCGACCGCCCCGGGCCCCGCGCTTTGGGGGGGGGGGGTGATGGCAGATACAGTGCGATTTGCCCGGGGCCCCCCCACGCCGCCCCCCCCCCCCTCCCCATGGACGGCCCTGCTCACACAGTAAAATAGACAAAGATCCCCCAGTATAGCCTGAACAAACTGTTTGTGCCAAGCGCTGTTAGCGACTTGCAACCCGACGGAGGCCAAAACCTGGCATGGCGCGCGAGGATGGTGAGTGGCCAACACCACTCCCACGGCCGCCTTTGTCTCCCCAGTTGGCGACGTGTACCACATCGCACCAGTTTCTCATTTAAGGCCGAGTCGACCTAGGGCGAGGCACTCCCTCGCGCTCTCGGTCGCTCGCTCGCACGCGCGCAGAGACGTGCACGCGCGCGCGCTGCCTCCGCCTCTCCCACTCTCTCTCACGCGCTTTCTCTCGCGAGCGCTTGAGCGCAAACGCCGATTGTTTGAACGCCGCGTCTGCTGCTGCCCGTTTAAGGGCTGAGTCTACCTAGGCGCGGGCCCGACACCGGTTCGGACGTCACTCTTCACGTTCGGTGGCCGGTATCCAACTTGCGGCCATCGATGGGGGTTCAAAGCGCAGTGCGCCAACAACTGCGCCACCGCTCCATCTCTCACGCGCAACAGCAACAACAACAACCGCCGTTCGCCACTCAGTGGCGGTGAGGTCACCACGGCGCTCGTGCCAGGCTAGGTGCACTTTGAGGCCACGTGAAGTGTCGAAGGCCCGCTCGCAGGAAGGCCACGGGACAGATCCATGTGCCTTGGGTTGCCTGACCGAGATGAATGTCGCACTCTCTGTCTCTCTCTCACCACTCACGCTCTCAACAAACAAGGAACCACTCTCACACTCTCTCAATGTGCTCTCATTGGCGTCCGAGTCCACACCGTCAGACACGCGCGCAGTCGAATTGTCTCGCACGATCGCTCCCAGTCGCTCACACACACACACACGAAACTATGACAAAGATCCCCCGTATAGCCTTAACAGATTGTTGGGGCAATTGCTGTTAGCGAGTACCATTGAAGGCCGGCAGGGCACACGAGGGAGTGGGTGGTCAGCACCACGCCCGGCCGCCTTTGCCTCCCAGTGGCGATGTTTTAACACACCGCACCAGGTACTCATTTGAGGCTGAGGCGACTCAGGGGAGGCCCAGGACCGATTCAGGTAATCGTCACTGGTGTTGGCTGCGAGCGGAAATTTAACTCGCGGTCGCCGAGTTCGTAGCGCAGCGCGCAAATCGCTTCCCACACACACACAGTCTGAGACACACACACACAGTCTGAGACACACACACACAGTCTGAGACACACACACACAGACACACACACACAGTCTGAGACACACACACACAGTCTGAGACACACACACACAGACACACACACACAGTCTGAGACACACACACACAGTCTGAGACACACACACACAGACACACACACACAGTCTGAGACACACACACACAGTCTGAGACACACACACACAGTCTGAGACACAACACACACAGACACACACACACAGGTCTGAGACACACACACACAGTCTGAGACACCACAACACACAGTCTGAGACACACACCACACAGACACACACACACAGTCTGAGGACACACACACACAGTCTGAGACCCACACACACAGTCTGAGACACACACACACAGTCTGAGACACACACACACAGACACACACACACAGTCTGAGACACACACACACAGTCTGAGACACACACACACACAGTCTGAGACACACACACACAGTCTGAGACACACACACACACACAGTCTGAGGACACACCACACAGTCTGAGACACACACACACAGTCTGAGACACACACACACAGACACACACACACAGACACACACACACAGTCTGAGACACACACACACAGTCTGAGACACACACACACCAGTCTGAGACACACACACAGTCTGAGACACACACACACAGGACACACACACACAGTCTGAGACACACACACACAGTCTGAGACACACACACACACAGTCTGAGACACACACACACACAGTCTGAGACACACACACACACAGTCTGAGACACACACACCACCAGTCTGAGACACACACACACACAGTCTGAGACACACACACACAGTCTGAGACACACACACACAGTCTGAGGACACACACACACAGTCTGAGACACACACACACACAGTCTGAGACACACACACACACACAGTCTGAGGACACACACACACACACACAGTCTGAGACACACACACACACACAGTCTGAGACACCACACACACACACAGTCTGAGACACACACAGTCTGAGACACACACAGTCTGAGACACACACATCTACACAGACACAGTCTGAGACACACACACCACAGACACAGTCTGAGACACACACACACAGACACAGTCTGAGACACACACACAACACAGTCTGAGACACACACACACAGCCTGAGACACACACACACAGTCCTGAGACACACACACACAGTCTGAGACACACACACACACAGTCTGAGACACCACACACACACAGTCTGAGACACACACACAGTCTGAGACACACACACACAGTCTGAGACACACACACACAGTCTGAGACAACACACACACGCAGTCTGAGACACACACACACACAGTCTGAGACACACACACACACAGTCTGAGACACACACACACAGTCTGAGACACACACACACACACACAGTCTGAGACACACCACACACACAGTCTGAGACACACACACACAGTCTGAGACACACACAGTCTGAGACACACACAGTCTGAGACACACACAGTCTGAGACACACACACACACAGTCTGAGACACACACACACACACAGTCTGAGACACACACACACACACAGTCTGAGACACACACACACACAGTCTGAGACACACACACACAGTCTGAGACACACACACACAGTCTGAGACACACACACACAGTCTGAGACACACACAGTCTGAGACACACCACAGTCTGAGACACACACACACAGACACAGTCTGAGACACACAGACACAGTCTGAGACTCACACACACAGTCTGAGACACACACAGTCTGAGACACACACACACAGACACAGTCTGAGACTCACACACACAGTCTGAGACACACACAGACACAGTCTGTGTCTCACACACACAGTCTGAGACACACACACAGTCTGAGACACACACACAGTCTGAGACACACACACAGTCTGAGACACACACACACAGTCTGAGACACACACACAGTCTGAGACACACACACACAGTCTGAGACACACACACACAGTCTGAGACACACACAGACACAGTCTGAGACACACACACACAGACACACACACACACAGACACAGTCTGAGATACACACACACAGTCTGAGACTCACATACACAGACACAGTCTGTGTCTCACACACACAGTCTGAGACTCACATACACAGACACAGTCTGTGTCTCACACACACAGTCTGAGACACAGACACAGTCTGAGACACACACACAGTCTGAGACACACACACACAGTCTGAGACACAAACACACAGAGACACAAACACACACAGACACAGTCTGAGACACACACACAGACACAGTCTGAGACACACACACACAGACACAGTCTGAGACACACACACATTCACAGTCTGAGACAAACACACATTCACAGTCTGAGACAAACACACAGACACATACAGTCTGAGACACACACACAGTCTGAGACACACACACACAGACATAGCCTGAGACACACACACACACACATAGTCTGAGACACACACACAGACACAGTCTGAGACAAACACACAGTCTGAGACACACAGCACACAGACACAGTCGGACACACACACACATTCACAGTCTGAGACACACACACAGACACATACACAGTCTGAGATACACACACAGTCTGAGACACACACCACACAGACACAGTCTGACACACACACACATTCACAGTCTGAGACACACACACAGACACAGTCTGAGACACACACACATACACAGTCTGAGACACACACACAGTCTGAGACACACACCACACAGACACAGTCTGACATACACACACAGACACAGTCTGAGACACGCACACAGACACAGTCTGAGACACACACACACACAGACACACACCACACAGACACAGTCTGACGCACACACCACACAGACACACAGATAACAAAGACAAAGACAAAAGCGCAGTCTCTTTTACTCCGTCTCTCGCTCTCACGTGCGAATGGATAAAAAAAAATCGCTAAATAAATAAACACACACACACACTCTCTCTCTCGCTCGTTCTCTCTCTCTTGCGAGCGAGAGAGAGAGGGCGAGAGAGTGAGAGAGCGACGCAAGAGAGAGCGAGAGAGGGCGAGAGAGTGAGAGAGCGACGCGAGAGAGAGCGAGAGAGGGAGGGAGGGAGGCAGCGAGAGAGCGAGAGAGCGAGGCGAGAGAGAGATGAATATGAGGCGATAGCGGAGACAAAGGGGGTGGGCGGGGGGAGCGTTCGAGCCGGGGTTCGTTTCTCTTCGCGGGGACACTACAGCACAGCGGACCGGTCCGGGGGGTCACGGCTCATCTCGACTCCGCGGCTCATCCCGACTCCTCGGCTCATCCATCAACAGGCGCGGGGACAGGAGCTCGCAAACTCAGCCGAGAGACCGGGGAACGATCATCATCAGCAGCAGCAGCATTATCATCATCATCAGCAGCAGCATTATTATCATCAGCAGCATTATCATCATCATCAGCAGCAACATTATCATCATCAGCAGCAGCAACATTATCATCATCAGCAGCAGCAACATTATCATCATCATCATCAGCAGCATTATCATCATCATCAGCAGCAGCATTATCATCATCAGCAGCAGCAACATTATCATCATCAGCAGCATCATCAGTAGCAGCAACATTATCATCAGCTACACGCGGTATCGTCGTCCATGACAACCACAGCGTTATCTCATATTTACGCCACTAGCGGAGAAGTCAATCAGCAACATCATCATCAGCAGCAGTATAATTATTATCAGCATCAGCAGCAGCATCATCATCATCAGTATTAGCAGCATCGTCACAATCGGTGGCCAGAGCAACACCCTTTAAACAAATCCGTCATTCGCAGCGGCAAAAATCAGCATCCTTGACATCATCATCATCACCGTTCGTCGTCATCAGCATCACGAGCATCATAAGCATACGCCGTATCACAGGAGCATTATCAAATATGTTTGTCATTAGCGGTGGTATGAATGAGCAGCATCATCGGAATTGAAATCATTTTCATCATCAGAAGCAGCATATGCAGCATCAGCTGCCGATATTCCAGCAACAGCTGCATTGTCATATACTCCCTATGAGCAGTAACATCACTCAACATCATCGACAGCATCATCATCATCATCACCGTTCATCATCATCAGCAGCAGCAAATTCATCGTCATCATCAGCTGCATCATCATCATCCTATCCCGTTAGAGGAGTAGAATCGTCGTCATCATCATCATCATCATTATTAACAGCGGTATCATAAATTATTACCACATTGTTTCAGCATCGCTAATTATAATCATCATCTTCTCCGCCAGGAGCAGCATCAATCATCGTCACCAGCGTCGGTATCAATCAGTGTCGGCACCAGCTGTTGCTGCTGCTGCTGTTATTGCTGCTACTTCTACAGCCGCAGCAGGAGAGGACCGAGTCCGCCTGCTTGCACTGCCACCATCACCAAGTACCACCACCACCGTGGCGACCACGCATCCACCATCAGCGGAACTGCCACCACCATCACCACCATCACCACCACCACCACAACCACCACCACCATCCACCCATCCACGCGCCCTACACCATCACCACCCACCCACCCTCCACGCGGCACTATCACCAGCAGCACCACCGCCACCATCACCACCACCACCACCGCCACCACCCACCCTCCACCCGACACGATAACCAGCACCGCCGCCGCCGCCACCACTGCCGGCGCCGGAGCCCCAAGGATGGAGCTCCGCATCTGGGACCACATGGCCATCGACGTCTGCCCGGAGCCCATCCGCCCCATCAAGCAGATCTCTGACTACTTCCCCCGCGTGCCCTGCTCCTTCCCCGCAGCCATGAACCGCTCGGGGGCTCCGGGGGCAGTCACGGCGGGGGGAGCCGCGGGGGGAGCTGCGGACGGAGGAGACGCGGCGGCGGCGACGATGCGGGAACGAGAGCGACTCCAGCAGATTCAGGCGGAGAGAGTGGAGCGCGAGAGGGGGGAGCGAGAGAGGGCGGCCGTGGCGGTGGTGGTGGCGGTGGCCGCGCCCGTCGAGTCGGAGCGAGACGTGGATCGAGACGATGACAGCGGCGACTCGGATGACAGCAGTGAGTGCGCGCACTGCGCTTGGCACATGCACACGCGCACGCGGACACGCGCATACATCTCCCATATAGCTTCTGACGGAACGTCGGGGAAAGTGCCGTTCGCGAGAAGCGACTGTAAAAAACCGGCACGGCACACGAGGGCGTGGGTGGCCAGCACCACGCGCGGCCGCCTTTGTCTCCCTTCGTAGCGATGGTTACGCACCGCACAAAGCAACTCGCTTAAGGCGGAGTCGACCTAGGGGATGCCCAGAGGGGAGACCCAGGTAGACCGATGGAACCGTGCGAATATTCTCCACCGTGAGCGGGAATCGAACTCGGGTAGCCTGATTCGTAACGCAGTGCGCTAACCACTTCACCGCCGCTCCGCACGCATATTTCATACACGCGCACACATCCACATGGAGAGAGACGACATCTCCCACAGCCCTGCAGCTCAGACTCTTGAGTCGCATCATTGTTAAAATTAGATCACCACGTCAACCGCCTGCAGATCTCTCATTAATTAGGGCTCAATTAAGGGTCAAATACCAATCAAAGGTTAATAATAATAGTAATCTCAACCTGTAACACTGCATGCGTAGCACTCGCTCGCTCTCGCGGAGTGACGAGCGGGAAGGGAGCAGCAGCAGCAGCCACGCGGTGGTGAGAAGCCGGCGCTTACCAACAATTGGCCGAGCTCTGCGTTCCTCTACATATTAAGGTGTTCTCGGCCAATCGAACGAGTGATTTGTACGTGGAGGGGAGTGATTTACATGAAGCACCCGGACAACAACAAAATAAAGCCACGCGCGTGTGCGTGCGAGCGAGGGGGTGGGTGGGGGAGGGCAAAACTCAAATCCCATACAGATGGAACAGATGGAGTTTAGTCCACATTCTTTTTATTTTTCTGTACCGCCACCTGCTGGCGAGTCGGGGTATACGCGGCACTTCCTCTGTGCGGTGACCCACCAACCCCTCTCCGCTGCCTCCACAATGCGGGATTACAGGCGGTGGAACGTGGCATACAAAGACAAAGGCCCCCCCAACCCATCCACCCCGTGTAGCCTTCACAGACTTTTGGCAGCAAGTGTTGTGAGTTGTGCCCTTGCGGCTTTTCGCATCAGCTGTCGCGGACGGAACCCAGCTGCTCCGAACGAACACGTTCAAGTTCAAGTTCATTTATTTGGTATAGCCCTGTGAGACATTTCGACTCTTGAATCGGGTGCAACCGCAACAAACAAAAAACAAAAACATGAACAAGAAAACATCTTAAAGTGAATATGTGACTATGTGCAAACCTCACATAGTGCCGTGAGGGTGAAGGGAGAGGTGTCAAGGCCGTTCGCCTCGCCACTGTTTGTTCCCGGCCGAGATTCCCGTGTTCTGTTCAAACGAGCCGTTCCGAACCTGCGTTGTGCATTCTTGTTCCGAACCTGCACGCGTGATGAGTTTATTCGGAGTAAGTTTCATCATCATCATTATCAGCAGCAGCAGTCCGCCGCTATTTATATTATTGCCACATGTTGAAGGGTGCCGTCTCCAACTATGAGTCGCTTCATCTCTCTCTGCTATGAAGAAGAGTGATTGCCCGAAACGTCGCCCATTGTATTGTTTGGGCTTTTTGGAGGCGGTTGTTGTCTTTGAGATCCGTCGGCTAAAGCGAGCAACCATTTAATTCTCACTGATCTGCTGTGACATCTGACTCACTCGAATCGTGATCATCGTCGGCCATGGTCAATCCACTGCTGGATGATTGCCGGCCCAAGTCGCCGCCGCCTCTTCACTACCCTGTGATGTAACGACCCACCCGAGCATCCCGCAGCACGCGACGATTTGTATCGCTCCATCTCCTCCTCCGCGCGCGGCCCTCACACCGACGCGTTCCATCCCTTGGCTGCTGCTGCCGCTCCGTTATTACTCTCGACCATCCGTCATCGTCAGCCTCCCTCCAGCCGTGACGCGTCCGGCCACAATCAATCCCACAGCCACTGGCGGAGCCAATGGGGGGGGGTGGCACGTGCCCCCCCCGTTGATCCAATCGAAATCCCTAATTTCGATCGGATCATTGGGGTTTATTAGTAATAAATCGGCATTTTGCGACCCCCACTGCCACTGTGTAGCATATTATTACGTGCCAGGGACTCTGAGATGATAGGACAATAGTCTGAGTCCATAATTGGCAATAAGTAATGGCAAAGCAGTTACAAGTGACTCGCAGAATTGTGCGCAGTTGCGTATACAGCACACGACTTCCCTGAAGGCATTCACCTTCAGCGAGCGCGATGCCGATCACACGACGCGGTTCGAATTCGACCCTCGATCGATGGCTGCGCAATCGCCGCACACGCGTCGAATAAAAAGCGAGGGACAAGTCCTTACTCACTAACAACTCCTCTATCACTTTTTCATTGATGGAGGGGTTGCCCCCCCTACTGAAAATCCTGGCTCCGCCATTGCCCACAGCGGCATCTCTCTAATTTGTCGAGAAATCGCGCTCTGCGTGGTCCATATCCCAAGTGAACGCGGAGCGTTGGGTTAACAGTTGGGGCCAACGTTGTTGGGCCAACGTTGGGCGAACGTTGCGCAAACGTTGGGTGAACGTTGGGTGAACGTTCAGTCAATGTTCGTAACACGGTTCCAACCAGACATGCTAACGTTGGCCCGACGTCGGTTGGCACGCTTGCCGGGATGGTGTCTCGTCTTCGTCCGTGTTCTCTGATTCGCGTGTTTCTCTTTTCTGTCTCTCATTGTCATTCCCAGCGTGCATCTCCCACTCACACTTAGACCCCCCCACCCCCTCCTTCACCGCCGACTCTACCACGTTCACCACCTCCACCACGTTCACCACCACCACGTTCACCACCTCCACCACCACCACCACGTTCACCGCCTCCACCATCCACGTTCACCACCTGCACCACCACCACTTTCACCACCTGCACCACCACCACGTTCACCACCTGCACCACCACCACCACCACGTTCACCACCTCCACCGCCTCCACCACCACCACCTGCACCACCACCACCACCACGTTCACCACTTGCACCACCACCACCACGTTCACCACCTCCACCGCCTCCACCACCACCACCACCTGCACCACCACCACCACGTTCACCACCACGTTCACCACCACCACGTTCACCACCACCACGTTCACCACCACCACGTTCACCACCACCACGTTCACCACCACCACCTGCACCACCGCCTCCACCACCAACTCCACCACCACCACCACGTTCACCACCTGTACTGCCTCCATCACCACGTTCACCACCTCCAACGCCTCCACCACCTGCACCACTGCCTCCACCACGTTCACCACCTGCACCGCCGCCACCACCTGCACCGCCACCACGTTCACCACCTGCACCGCCACCACCTGCACCACCACCACGTTCACCACCTGCACCGCCACCACCTGCACCACCACCACGTTCACCACCTGCACCGCCTCCACCACCGCCACCACCTGTACCGCCACCACGTTCACCACCTGCACCGCCACCACCTGCACCACCACCACGTTCACCACCTGCACCGCCTCCACCACCGCCACCACCTGCACCGCCACCACGTTCACCACCTGCACCGCCACCACCTGCACCACCACCACGTTCACCACCTGCACCGCCACCACCTGCACCACCACCACCACGCCGTCACTCTGCTTCCTCGCACACTTGTTCAGCTCCGCGTGCCGTGCACTTTGACCGCGTCCGCGCTGCTCCGAGTCGCCGACTGGCGGCGCGGCGCGTGGCCGCGTCTGTCCCCGCGGCACCCCTCGCCTCGTGTCGCCTCCACGTCGCCGCTGCTGCTGCTGCTGCTGCCGCTGCCGCTGCTGCTGCTGCGCGTTCCTCGTTTTTCATAATCCCGAGACGCCCGCGATAGATCGGTGTTCATTCCCAGGTCGGCGGGCGCGTGTGTGTGCGCGTGTGTGCGCGTGTGTGTGCGCGTGTGTGTGTGTGTGTGCGTAATTGTGTGTGTTTATGCGCGTGTGTGTGTGTGTGTGCGTGTATGCGCGTGGGTGCGCGTGGTAGTTTTGCATGTTTCCACCTCTCTCTCTCTGGCGTGCCATCATCGTCATCATGAAATCGCATGTTCTATCCACTGCTGGATGAAGATCAATGCGGGTCCGTGTTGATTCCCGATGGCGCGCCTCGTAGTCTTGAGGCGTGACGGGAGGAGGCGGAGGGTTCACCTCCACCGGTGACCTCGACGCGTGACGCGGCGCGAGTTATGGCCGGGGTGAGGGGGTGGGGGGTGGGGGGAGGGGGTGTGGGGTGGGGGGAGGGGGTGGGGGAGGGGTGGGGGATGGGTGGGGGATGGGGGATGGGGGGGGCGGTGGGGTGTAATGACGGAAGGGGCTGCCTCCATCTCTCCTCTCTCATTCCTCACCTTGATCCACAATCTCCCTCTGTGGCGCGTCTCTCACATCTCGCTCACGCCGTCTCTCCACACCGTCCCACGCCGTTCCGCGATTACAACTCCTCCCCTAAGTCTTGTTCTGCATCTCCCTCCTCTCCGCGTCACCCCTCCTCGTCCTCTCTCTTTCTCCCTCCGTATCTCCCCACGTCTTCCTCTTTCACCAAATCCTCCCTCTGCCTCCACATCCCCACCGATCTTCGCGTCTCTCTCTGTCTCTCTCCACATCTATCCACATCTCCCCCCTCTCCCTCCACTCCCTCCACTCCCTCGACATCTCCACCCTCTTCCTCTCTCTCTCCACATATCCCGCTCTCTCCACATCTCCCTCTTGTTGCATCTCTCGATGGACTGGACAGGTCGTGACGATGATGACGAGACGCCGCTTGTGTCATCTTAAAACCATTACTCCCGGTGCCCTGTGTCCTCGGCACATTTATTATAAAAACTAAAATTAACCCGCTCGTAAATATTAGCCCTGACCCTAAGTGAGATACACGACGGATACGTGAATACATCTTCTATTCGTCCTATCGATTTCCCAAACCCCTATTACCGGAATCAAATAAAAAAACCCGATATTAAATTA